GTTATTCTTGTGACATCTAGTATGTGTCTAATTGTCTTTTCAATGGACCTAGTTCTCGAAATAATTATGTTAACTCACCATAACCGACTGTAATTCAGTAATCACGCACTATATCGGCTTCCGTCACGTGGAGCTCATTCAGGACTACGTCGATCAGCAGCAGAAGGCCAAAGGACGGCATTTCTACGTGAAAATTAACGACCGTCCAGTTTTCCTCAAAGGTTTCGTTTTGATGGGTCGCTGATGTGCATACAATTTGATTTCTATTCATTAATCTTTTGTTGGTATTCCAGGATCGAACTGGATACCGATATCCATGTTCCTAACCCAAAATAACACTGAACGGATGGAATTTCTGCTAGATTCTATGATAGAGACAGGTAGTTATTTCCTTTTTGGATATGATCATAACCCTCAATCACTGACATCCCTGAAGCGGATAAGTTTTATGAACCAACAAGGAGTCATTAGTTGATTCCTGACATATGCATTAATTTCCCAGTCAGTAACTTCCACGTTCAGCCGGCAGTGCTCCCGGTTTCGTGGACCTTTGAAACTTCTACTCTAAAGTTCGAGTCCCCAGTTCTCATACTTATGGCATTCTTTCTCACAGGTATGAATACGTTACGGGTCTGGGGTGGTGGTGTGTACGAGTCGGAAGAATTTTATCAGTATGCTGATTCGAAAGGGATCTTATTGTGGCAGGTATGATTAAATTTAATAGGGCTTCGTTGAAAATCATCGTTAATTGTGTGGTATATAAATTATAGGACTTGATGTTTGCATGTGCCCTCTATCCAACGAATGAGGACTTTTTGAAAAGCGTTGAAACTGAAGTCCACCAACAGGTTTGTGGTAACGGTTGTAAGTAGGTTTAATAGATTGTTTTCATCCGTACTTCTGTATCAGATATGGCGAATAAAGCGTCATCCATCAATTTTATTATGGGCAGGAAACAATGAAAATGAAATAGCTATCAGATCACATTGGTGGACAGTCGAGAACTACACAGGTTGGCTTTTCAGTTGGCATATCTCTTTGTGCTACCGGTGTTCTAGGGGAGGGGAGGGACAGGGCATGGGCTTGGCTGAACTTGCTCTTGGGAAGCCTAACACCTAGTTGGTGACTGCAGATATCTGCGTAACGTTCTTGGAGGGAAGAAGGCTTGGTTGCCCTGGTCGGAAGTCAATCCGTGAGACCGGATCGCGCGTGGTAAGCGGATCACTTGCTTACACCACCATCTCTGGATCCAGTTCATTTTGATGTAGGACCAAAATGTCTTTCACCCTGCGGTATGCACATTTGTTTTTTTTTGGCACTATCCAACTATGACGGGTAGTAACCAGTTTCGCGAAAACAGGCCGAATCTTGATCGACTTTTTTCTACGGGGGCAGGATTTGGCTGAAATTTGGGTTCTAGAGGTAATTCTACCT